CCCCCCCCCCCGCCGGTCGCCCAACTCCCTGAGGCCGAGCGCCCCTCCTTCCCCCAGCAGCCTCCCAGAGCACAGGGCGAGACCCGCGGGGAACAGCCGCGTTGGCACCGGGGCAAGGCCGCCCCAAGAGCAAACCCGCAGGCGCCGTGCCCGAGTCCGCCTCTCAGAGAAGCGGACCAAAGCGCTTCTGCGTTCCAGTTTCGCGTAGCTTACTTACAACTGTCCTTCCCAAATCCTCGCCCCTAAACATAGATCCTCAGCAATAAATCAGGCTTGATTATAAAAAGAAAAACACTCGCACAAACTCTTTAGAAAGGGGCTTTGGAGAAGAGAGTGACAAGCCGCCAGTGGTCCGCACACAGACTAGGAAAGGACCAAGAGCTCCAGGTGTTTGACACCAAAAAGATGGAGAGAAATTAACTTTCCCTATGCAGTCGAATTCAGGTTCACTTGGTAGGAGTTTAAGAAGGCAAATGGAACACTTTTAAGGGATTCTGTAAAAGCCACATTACAGGGTTTTGCAAAATGAAGGCTCTGCCTAACTGGCTTTGTAGATTTTTATTTTTATTACATAACGAGGTTTGGTATATTGTCTCCCAAAGCAAATAACACCTACCCTATCTACTTGAATGTCTTAAAACGACTTAGAATCTACACAGCTTGGGTTGAGAGAGAAAAGTTTCAATAGTAAGCAAATCAGAAACAATGTCACAACTTTGTCTTATCCAAAAGTTTTGTAAGGCTACTACAGGCACAGCCCGTTAAGGATAATACATGCATTAATAAAAGCACACACATGCTTCCACTGAAATGCCAAAAGGAGTGAAGCCATCTGTGTAGTCAATAACAGGATAGTTATAGATTTCTGTGGCAGTCAAGTTTTTTAGATGAGTCATTTATGAAAATAAAGTCATTTTACAAATGAAACTATACTGCCTGACAACGTTCAGATTAAACCGACATTAATACATTAAGAAAAGGTTAATTCAGGCTCACAATCACTTCCCTTCATATTTAGTTTGACAAAATTTTACAAGGTTATTTTAACTTACAAGTATAACCTGCCAAATTCCACCATATAAATTTGCACTATTTCTCACGACACAGATATTTTTTCTCTGGTAACGGGGTTAATTCTTGTAACGGTAAGTTAATGACAAAATACATTTGAATTTAATTATGAAATAGTTACCAAACAATGTGCTTGGAATAGTTATTGTCCTGCCCCGTTTTTCCACAGCACATGGAAACTACTGACAACGGATTTATGGCCACACACTCTCCACCTATATCCACACCCACACTCTGGAGGGTGCACAGCCACGGCTCTGGCTCATAGCAACAATGGGAGGCGAGAAGACTGCTAAGACTTCACTAGAGGAAAAAACCTACAGAAATCAGGTCCTTTCCCAGGTTCCCCTCCCTCCTCCAAGTGCCTTTAAGCCACAGTAATTCTGTCAGTCTGCACCTTCTCCTGCACGATTTTGAGAGAATTAAAAAAAAAAAAAAAGTGAACCTTTCTGAACCACTGCTACTCTCCCCCGCGTTATTCCAGCCATTTCCAGGAGAATCCCTTCTAGAGAGACTCTCCTTTTCTTCTTTGCAACTGATAAAGAGAGGATAAAGAGGGTCTGTAAAATGTGTGCGAGCATTTGACTTCTACTATCTCCTCCTATCTTCTTACTTCTCTCTTTACCCCTTTCTTTATCAAGTGGCTGCTACCGTTCGCCAAGCGTGCCTGTCTTCTCTCTCGGATTGGCCAGAGCACTGACAGCTTGGATGGGGATTGTAGGAAATGAAGCTCCACCCCCTCGTGATGGCCCGGGGACCATTCATAAACTAAATAACTCCAGGAAACAGCAGGGCGGGGGGACAGAGAGGGAGAGAAGGGGAGAGAGAGGGAGAGAGGGAGAGAGGGAGAGAGAGAATGCAAAAGTAGAGTTTTATAAAAAAATTAGAGAGAGGGAGAGAGGGGAGAGGGGGCAGAGGAGAGACGGTGAGCCGAGATCATTGGAGGGGGAGGGGGAGAGTCGGCTCAGAAAGTGGAGTCTGAACCAGCAGCCCGGAGGAGAGGAAAAACCCTGGGTCGTTTGAACCACACGCCAGATGCAACGCAAGCAAGGACTTCGTCACACTAAAATAGATTTTGTGAGGGCCAGAAGTATAAATTACGAAGCAGAAATGAGTATCAAACAACTTCCAGCGGTTTGCACCTAGAGAAAGACAAGAAGAACCCACTAGGAACAAACCAGCGCAATCCAAACAACGCCTCCAGTAGGAAAAGAGAAAAACTGCGACGCGGCGACCCCCGGAGAAGAGAGGAGAGCAGCGCGCGGAACCGGCGGGGCGTCCGCAAACCTCCAGCGCCGAGGACCAGGCTGCAGCCTGCACTTCATCGGGGCGGCGCGGAGCACCGGTCACCCACCCCGGGCGGAGGAGCCCTCACAGAGCGGGAGAGAAGTTTTAAGAATGAAACACCGAATGCTTTGCTCTTATTTTTAAATTTACTTTGGTACTTAAAAGACTTCATCTCCAGATATCTGGGCAATCTGGGCGACAGACTTTTAAGCCTAAACGCCTGGGTAACTTGAATTTCTCTCTCTTGCGGGCCGCACCCCTCCCCTCACTCTCCCGCACAGGTTATCTTCATTTTACTTATAAAAGAGAAAGCCTCCCCTCCAAAGTCCCAGCAGGTACTCCCCCCCGCAAAAAAAAAAAAAAAATTACCTTCTAATTTCCTGCACAAGAAAATAGGGCTTCGAAAGCGGGAAAAAGCACAGGCCGGCGGCTACCGCGCCAGCCGGCAGCCAGGTGGGAAGCAGACCGTGGGGCTTCAGGGGAGCGCACCGCCTCTTCGCAAAGCCGCACCACCAGCGCCTGAGCCTTGGATCCCTCAACGTACTGCGAGACGCCGGTGTACAGCCCGGACCTGTGCCCCAACATGATCGCCGCCCAGGCCAAGCTGGTTTACCAGCTCAATAAATACTACACCGAGCGCTGCCAGGCGCGCAAGGCAGCCATCGCGAAGACCATCCGAGAGGTCTGCAAGGTGGTCTCGGACGTGCTCAAAGAGGTGGAGGTGCAGGAGCCCCGCTTCATCAGCTCGCTCAGCGAGATCGACGCCCGCTACGAGGGGCTCGAGGTCATCTCGCCCACCGAATTCGAGGTGGTGCTCTACCTCAACCAGATGGGCGTCTTCAACTTCGTGGACGACGGCTCGCTGCCCGGCTGCGCGGTGCTCAAGCTGAGCGACGGGCGGAAGCGGAGCATGTCCCTCTGGGTGGAGTTCATCACGGCGTCCGGCTACCTCTCCGCGCGCAAGATCCGCTCGCGCTTCCAGACGCTGGTGGCCCAGGCGGTGGACAAGTGCAGCTACCGGGACGTGGTCAAGATGATCGCGGACACCAGCGAGGTCAAGCTGCGCATCAGGGAGCGCTACGTGGTGCAGATCACGCCGGCGTTCAAGTGCACGGGGATCTGGCCTCGCAGCGCGGCGCAGTGGCCCATGCCCCATATCCCCTGGCCCGGCCCAAATCGGGTGGCGGAGGTCAAGGCCGAAGGGTTCAACTTGCTCTCCAAGGAGTGCTACTCGCTGACCGGCAAGCAGAGCTCGGCGGAGAGCGACGCCTGGGTGCTGCAGTTCGGGGAGGCGGAGAACCGCCTGCTAATGGGCGGATGCCGAAACAAGTGTCTCTCGGTGCTGAAGACGCTGCGGGACCGCCACCTGGAGCTGCCGGGCCAGCCCCTCAACAATTACCACATGAAAACCCTGCTGCTCTACGAGTGCGAGAAACACCCTCGGGAAACGGACTGGGACGAGGCGTGCCTGGGCGACCGGCTCAACGGCATCCTGCTGCAGCTCATCTCCTGCCTGCAGTGCCGCCGCTGCCCACACTACTTTCTGCCCAACCTCGACCTCTTCCAGGGCAAGCCCCACTCGGCCCTGGAGAGCGCTGCCAAGCAGACCTGGAGGCTGGCCAGGGAAATCCTCACCAATCCCAAAAGCCTGGACAAACTATAGGGCGCCTGGACTGCATGAGAAGCGTGCTCTCTCACACCCAATGCACCGCTCGACGAAACGGCGGAAACTCTGGACGCAAACTTTTGTAAGTCATCGGGAGCAAGCAGAATTGGGCGGCCGACCTTCGCTAATTAAGAAGCAAACAAAAGAGAGCAGACCAACCAAAAAGATCACGTTCTTGCACAAAAGTGATCCTTTTCTTCCAAACAATGTGAATTTAAAAGGTCACACAAAAGAAGCAATCGGGCTTTGCCATCACAAAATGAAACCCAAGGTACATTTTCAAATCAATGTATAGTAGTTTCCCTCTTTTCCTTCTTTAACCCCTGTCCTCCTTTACCCCTTGTTCGTTCTCTCTCCTTCCCTCCCTCTAGTTTTTGTTTTTTGGTTGCCTGAATGTTGTCACCAAGTGAAAAATTTATTTAACTATATGTAAAATTTCTCTTTAAAAAAAGTTTTACCGATGTTAAATGTATCTCAGTGCCAATGTCAGACTGTGCCCTCCCTCTCTTGCACCTCTCCCCCCACCCTGAGACGTCTTGTTGAAAACAGTAATAAAAATGCTACTTTACATTGCACTGACTGCTGTGGACTGTTCTTGAACGAAGGCAGGTGAGACCACTTGTTTTAATTCACAATGTAAAAGACATGAACTTGAGAACTTAAGAACCTTCATGAACTTTGACTCGCAAAATTTTAAATGAAGCACATTTTGAAGAATTAACTATATAAATTCCCAACAAAATCCTTAGAAAACACGATATTAATTTTACTTATATGTATATTTAAAGATTAAATTCCATACTTGTAAAACGAAAACTATGTGGTAAAACAATTTCACCCTAATTTTTAAAATAAAAAATTTCCCGTTAAAAATTATGAGATTAATTTTTATGCCATAATTTTTTAAAAATCCAACACAAAAGAATTTTTTAGGGATCTTTTCTGAATAAAGAAGTTGATATTTTGCCTTCCATCACTTGTCTTCTTCAGGCTTTGAATAACATTTTAACAACTAAATCAGTCACTTTGAAAAATAAAATTGGTACAGCCATAACCTTGTCCTCCAGCAACTAGCAATAGAACAATTCACATTTATAAATTACTTCAATTTTTCAAGGGCTTAATGATAAATGCCACACTTACAATCATTTTGATCACATTTCAAGAAATTGCTTATACACACTTCAAACAAAGAAGGTTTTGATACCATTTTTTTTGACCATAGAAAATTTGTCCCAAGAATTTACTAACAGAAAAAGTATCCTCTTTCTCTCTTCTCTTTCTGCTTTTCTAAGGTAACAATCCAATTAACTCATTTCTGTATTTCAACTTTGACAAAGGTTTCTTTTCAGCTCAAGGAAATAACTGTTTGGAATATCAAATAGTAAAAATGAAAGTACCCTAAAAATTTGTCTTGTTTATGTTGGAAGGAAATCTATACCCCATTAGCCTTGCTCATGTGAGGCACAGGTACAGAATATAGCAGATGTTATCTTTAATATATAAATTGTATTTTTGCATTAGCCTGGTTTTTAAGATTTCTTTTAAAAACCTACAAATGAGAGGTGTGGGGAAAAACATTCCAAGCCTTGCTCATGTGAGGCACAGGTACAGAATATGGCAGATGTTATCTTTAATATATAAATTGTTTTTTTGTATTAGCCTGGTTTTTAAGATTTCTTTTAAAAACCTACAAATGAGAGGTGTGGGGAAAAACATTCCAAAGGGGAGTATTCCTCTGAGAAGTTGTGTGGAGGGGCAGTGCAGGAGGATGTGAGCATCAGGACAGCAGGGAGAGATGAGGAGCTGCTCCCAGACTGCTCCTGCTGGCTCCAGGGAAGAGCTTGTGCCTCATGGTTTCCTGGTAAAAAATCCCCTGGTAAAGTAATGTAGTGATCAAAACACATACTTCAGTCTTATCAGTTCTGAAATCATCCCTACCCTCTCTATGTATATTATATCTACCTATTTTTCTGGCCTCTCTTCCTGTAGATATAAAACAAACTCACTAATTCAGAACACTCATTTTTAAAATAGTAAAACAAATTTATTCTCTGGGGAAAAAGTGGTCTGAAGTTTAAGAACATTCCAAAGCAAGCAGTAGGTATTTGCATGAAGTAATATAAGGGCACAGCATTTAGTGTAAAAAATAAAAATGCTATCTTAAAATGGCCATTCTTTTTTAAAAAAATATTTACAGCATTAGAAACAAAACTTTCTCCAACTAGTCCATGAAAAAAGTTAAGTCTTGATAAGAAAAAACAAAAATAGCCCAAATTCAGTACCTTTCTTCCTACTTATTTAATGCAGGTATGGGGCAAGGGGCATTGCAGCAGCAAAATGTTATTTACAAAATACCTTAAAGCATCAATGTCTACACAAAATAAAAAAATTCTTCTAATAATTGTCTGGAAAAGAACTTTAAAATATGAACTGGCAAGAGCTTTTATTTATGAGACATTATGTAGGATGCTGCTATATAAAATGATTTCTATTATTAAGGTACCATATTTCACAAGCAACAGGGAGAAAATTATTTAATGATGCTGCAGAATAAGGTCAGAGAGAAATAAAAGATATAGCTTTTCCCTAAGGAGCAAATAGCTTCAAAGAACCTAATCTCAAGGATTGCCCAAGGTTTTAATTTTGAGAACAATTCATTAGAAACCTTTAAAATAAATCAGATTTTAGACTTTAAGCCACATGTGTTCCAAAAGCATAACAGAATATTCTGAATTAAATTTAGCCCCCCACCTCTTTTTTTTTGGCACTGGGGATCGAACTCCAGCCCTTGCTAGGCAAGCGGGAGAACCAATGAGCCAAACCTCTGGCCCCTTAGCCTCTCTTAAATTCACAAACTACTAGAAATCAGGCAGTTTAAGTGATTTTCATAACCTTTCTTGCCTAATGAAATTAAAACACATTTTCAGACATCACAAAGCAGAAAAAAATTTCTAGGTCATGTAATCTCAGAACGAAAGTTCTTTCTACATTAGATTAGTTGAATTATCCAACTCAAAAGTATCAGTTCCTTCGTGGCCTTCCAGTCTCACAGTCTACCAAAACCTGTCTTAACACAGGCAAGAATATAAAAACAAAGTGCCAGCATCATGCATAAGACTTGTTTGTGAAGTATTTAAATAAAATTATAAAATTTTCGCCAATGAAATACTTTAAATACTTCTAGGTAATTAAAGTTTAATAATTCACATATAATTTCAAAACCAAATAAATTTTACCAATACACAGTGTGAGCATACATGTGTAGATGTGTACACACACAACCAGTAAAATAAATTATTCCATTTTTTAAACGACTGCTTTTTCTTTAGGCCATTTTACTCATTGTTAAACTATTTCAGAGAAAATTCTACCACTTACATCCATGAAATAAATGTGATTTTGGCTTTATAACTGTTAAAAAACACAATTGTTTCCTAGTAAAAATCAGTTGCCAAAGTCTAAAAAGTAATCACAAATACATTTTACAGGGGAAATTACATTTCCATTTAAGAATAGGAAATTATGCAGTGCCTTGTAAAATCTCTTGTAGGTAATGGGAAACAGAGGTATCTCACAAACGCGGAACATGCCTGTGTGCAGGACAGAGTAGTAAGTCATGGGAACAAAGCCAGGAGAATGATATATTGGTATTATATCCAGAAAACATAAAGGCTAAACAAAATAATTCCACTCTCAATCGTACTGAATTTTGTAGCTTAATCCACCCTGGACCTTTTGAGGCAAAATACACTTATAGACAATGTTCCCCCTCCTAACAAAGAGCTAATGATGAATGCAATTAAATGGAAACAGATTTTTGATCTAAATGAACTTCAGTAATCTAACTAGATGATAAAGAAATCATAAGCTAGAAAATAGCATATAACTGCCTTTCATGTAAGCGAAAGCAATGCAAGAAATTCAAACCAAGCCTATGAGATTTTACCAATGCCAACTGTACCTCACAGTAGCCCATCACACCCCATAATAAAAACAAATAAAACGCCCTCCTCATCTTCTCACCTTGGGGTCGATTTTCTTGAAGTTAGGATCTTCTTCATCCACCTCAAAATAGAGTTCAGAGGAAGTGACCGAAAGAGTGCCCTTTACTACAACAGAGGGGGCCACAAGCTGAGCTGGCGTGCTCAGGCTAACAGGACCTGCCAAGAGAAAGAGACAGAGACAAGCCATATGACTTGGAGTAACAGATTTCAAAGAATCAAATTTGATCAGAAATTTTACTTAATTTTTAGATTTTCACTTCTAATTCCAAATTACCTGTTAATTCCTTCTACACTTCCATATTCTGCCCACCCTAAATAGTCCTCTGAAAATGCAAAGTCAGAATCCTCAGAAGATTTATAACGGGCAGGTAATGATAATGGTAAACTACAACGCAATTATTTTACAAGGGAAGTGGCAAAGCTTTGGTCTCCTATCTGGGTGAAAAGGTGGCTCTCCCTGAATAAGTGTGTCCACATTCCATTTAGAAAACAAGCTTCAGGCTATCAAACAACATGGAATAATAACCAGGAGCAAGGAAGCTTCAATAGGCTTCCAGACCAGAGGTGAGCTTAGACTTTGGCTGAGGCTTGAGCATGAAACAACCACTAGCACATTAGTGAAGTGGGAAATTCTCTAATAGACTATTTCTCTGATGAAGATTTTGTGTTAGTTTGACACAAAACCTTGCATAACTACTTTACCCCACGACAGACTAGTAAAAATACCTCTCTTTTCTAAGCCTTCCTCTCCATTGCTAAATATTGTTCAAGGCTTCCAAATCTAATATTAGTGTAGTTCAGGGACTCTGGGAGTAAACAGCTGGAGGGTGGGTTTCCAAGTGAATGAATTTTTATTGGAATAATCAAATCTCCACAGGGCTTATCAAAGAGACAAATCAGACTGCTACTAGAAACAAAAGATTCACTACTAAAAGAACAGCATCAAGTACATTAGAGATAAAAGTAAAAAACTGAAAGCAATAATTATATAATATACAAATGCTCATATAGAGTGGATTTATGATTCCATGTCAATTAATCACTGTACAAATCTTACAGAAGAAGAAAATAGCCAAAGAGAAGAATGGAACTTGTAGTCGAATTAATATTATTTATGATTCCATGTCAATTAATCACTGTACAAATCTTACAGAAGAAGAAAATAGCCAAAGAGAAGAATGGCACTTGTAGTCCTGAATTAATATAGTGCCTCAACAAGGTGCGCCTGTGCAGGTAATCAATGGGTGAATAAGTGTTTCAAAATTCAGATGAATTGACATTTCCATTGACTGTTAGAAGGGTGATGGTCCTTAATCTCACATCAATCTTAATGTGTGCCTGTAGGACAATAGAAGGGATGCTCTGCGGAGATCAGAGCGGGTTTTGCCCTCTATTCCCAATGTACAAATACATTGTGTTTGCAGATGGGCAGCAGATAGCAGCAGAAGAGCCATGATTTCCCAAAGCTCATCCCTATAAATGGATGAAATAAGCAGCTATGTGTTCTTTTGCTGTCTCCTTTTGCCCTCTGTACATTAGCATGTAATCCTGAGAAGAAATAACATTTTTTCAATCACTCTCAGACATTCAATTATAGGGTAAGCAGACAGCTGCAGGAGTCAGGGCAGCCTAGGTCCTATGGAAGACCCCTGACAATTTCCACTTCATTTCTAACCCACACCACTTTATTAGTGTGGATTACTTCTTAATCCTATTGCCATTGTCAAGATTATATAATTAAACTGCCCTTTCACCTCTATTACTGTATGAATATATTACTAGCAGCAAGAACAGAGGCAAAGTAAGGTGGAAATAAGTAAATGGATGTTAGGGAAAAGACTTGAGAATAGCAGTATCCACCTCACTTTCCACACTCACTCCAACCCCTTAACAGTATATTCCAATTAATTTCATTTAACAGAGAGATTTATGCCCTCAGAGAAGATAACCAGCTAATATTTTTGCTTTTCATTATCAAATTGCATAGTAGTACAGGTTGCAGATGTCAGATGTCACCAAATAAAAGCTTTCTAATGCCTTTTCTCTTCAAACCACCAAAATGGAAGGCTACAATTTTCAGCTGAAAAAAAATGAGACTCTCACACTTTTCTGCATGAGGAACAGAGTCACAGGCATTAAAGTAAAAAAAAAAAAAAAAAAAAAA